GGCTTTGTCTTTGTTCTCTGTAATTTGCTTCAAATCTGGTGACCTTTGGCTTTAGCTGGAAAACTGAGCTCATGACCTACCACCAGTTTTTTTGTGTGTGTGAAAAGCATTAATATGTGTGTTTATGGAATAGAGTGTGATTTAATGCAGGAAACTTTTTTTAAAGGACTTGAACTTGGTGTAGGCTTAGAGGATTTTTACAGAAAAGACAGCATCTCACTTGCTGACTGTATGCTTGAAGTCTTTCCAAATCGACATTTTTTTAATGATCCAGATATTTTAAGATTATTTAATTGTTTTTTAGTTACACATGGCCCCCCACTGTGTCCTTATGCTCTCCGTGATCCAGTGTCTTCAGGACTTGCAGATGGCTTGTGCAGTTAGTCTGGCTTGCTGTAGTTCCAGGAAGGCTGCTCCTATGATGTTCCCGATTATTTCTTCTGGCTTTTGTCACACAACAGTCGTACATATGCAGAAGAAAAGCCCATTCTTTCCTCTGGGTCAAGTAGCCAATATGCTTCTGCAGAACTCCATAGCTAAAGAAACCACTCATGATCAGCTGGGGGCAGATGTCAGATTTCTATGGCAACATTTCCATAGCCCCTGCCTCGAGTGACATTTTTTTCCAGTTTTAGTGAGGCATACTTGACAAATTGTGTATAGTTAGAGAGTTTGAATATATATGCAGGTTGTGAAGTGATTACTACAATCAAGCTAACTCCTCCATCACCCCACATAGTCACCCCCGCTTTTTTGTGATGAGAACACTTAAGATCTCTTAGCCATTTTCAAGTGTCTAATGCATTATTATTGACAGTAGTCACCATGCTGTGGAATATTCCTCTAGAACTTACCTATTCAGACTGAAATGACATACTCTAGAAGCAACATCTCCCCATTTCTCCCCAGGTGACTCTTTGAATGATTGACTTCCAGAAATGCTTAATTTGGAAAAGCTAAAACAAATGAAAATACCCAGTCTGCTTACAACATGTGAGACAAGAAGGTCAAGTTGAGTAGTATTAAGCCGGGGTCATTGGTTCCCTGGTCTAGGGAGCTTCACTGACAGTGACAACAATGCATATTGAACATCTTTTACATGCCACGTATTGTGCTGTCTATATAACAGATTATATGCCATGGGATCCTCATGATAGCAATGGTGACAGGGTGCAATACTTGCTATCTCTTTTTTACAAAGAAGAAACAGAAGAAAGCAGGAAAGTGGCTTGATAAAGATCTTGTGGTCAGGGGCTGGGGTTGTGGCACAGTGGCAAAGTGCTTGCCTAGCGCGTGTGAGACATGGGCTTCAATCCTCAGCACCACATATAAATAAATAAATAATAAAGGCATATCAACAACTAAAAAAAAATTTAAAAATAAAAAGATCCTGTGGTCAGTGAGCAACAGCATTGGGATGCAAACCCAGGCCCCTCTTATCCACATTCTTAATAACTAGGCCATGCCCAGAGACAACTACATCTTTTTCTTCGGATTTTATCTGGAGATGTTGATGCTCTGCCAGCTATATCACTCAGGCCCCTGGGACTGCTGTCAACAATGTGGTCTTTATAATGTAATCAATAACATGTTTTAGTTGGAAGCGTTAGGTCTGGATCCACACCCCCTCACCCAAAGTCAAATTCAGTCTTGGGCTTAAGTTTTGTTATAGGAATTCAGTTGATTTCTCTGCTGTCGTGTGGTGGTAATGCTATCTGCTTCTTTCCCTATAAAGAGCGCTCTCTCTCAATTTTGCTGGATGACTTGGCACCATTTATTTCTCAGTGCAAAGGGCTTCTCCTGTTAGAAAATCACTATATCATGGATTAAGGAAGGTGTTGGAGGCAGGCCCAGAAGGGGA